TTTATGGGCTTCTTTTGATTTTTGTTTTCTTTTTGCACAACATTGGCGAAACACGGCTTTATTTATGACGAGGTAAAACTTTATTTTGTGTTTCTAGTCAATCAATGGTGATGAGTGGTTTGATTATTTTGACGATGACGCATTTTTGAAACGTTTGTTTAAACATGGTTATTAATGAGGTTTAGATATGAATAGTAGGAAGAGAAGCAGATAATAAGAATGACATTCTTTGTAATTAATAGGGAAATATGTGCCCTATAATGCTCGGGGGTCGGGCTAGCCCCAAAGAGTAATCTCTAATAGTCATTGGATTTACAAACCATAAGAATCAGAAGGAGAACACCTAATGACTAAAGTCGCTTTTGATGCTTGAACCCCTTTGTTTGGGAAAATCTAATTCGAGCTGCAGAGGGGAGACTTCCCTTTTCTCCGTGCAGCTTGATCCTTTGTAGGGTCATGCCCTAGGCCATGATTTAAAGGATTGTCTGTAAAATATGGTGGCTCCCTTATTCCTTGAGAGTTTCTAATGAGCCCTTGGTTTGAGTGGCATCCATATTTCCTCACCATGTGGGTCACCTTCATATCGTTGGGGAAGTCTTTTCATATTGGCAAAAGATATTTCAAAGGTCCTTTTTAGTCGCATCCATTCAAGGTAGGGCAAACGACTTGCTGATCCGAATGTCGTTTTTAGCTCAAACCATGACCAGCTTGTCGCCTACCGTGAGTTTGTCTCTTTGGCCGAGCATTGAGAGAACTGCCTTAGCGTCGTGAATCCAAAGTCTACTCAGTTTCCTCTTTGGATTATGTTTTTCTTCGGTCTTTTTATTTTTTCTTTATTTGTAGGAGCGTCATCTTATAGCTCCTTGGGGGAATAGATTCTTCCATTTCTAATTTTGCCGCCAATGCCAGCTATGCTGGAGATATCCTTGTTAATGGGCGGTGTTTTTGCGTATCTCCATGGTGCAGCCTTATTTGATGTATGGGGTGAACAAATGTAACGACATCCTTGCCCCTTCTTCCTTATTAACTCGGATACCCAACGGTTGAGGCTTACTATCCTCTTTAGGCGGATCAACCGTTGGAGAGAACTTGATGACAAAAGGTTTGCTCTTCATCTTATTCCAATTCATGGAAAGCACATCAATTAATCCTTTCTTTTTATTATCTTATTATTATTAAAGTGAGAATGAATGCAATTTTTGAATGCAATTTATGAATACAATAGACACTTGAAGAGATGATGAAAACAAACAATTTTATTTATTTCATTCAGACAGTGTACATTCCTCAATGCAATGTTTCAAAGTACATTTTTTTTAAAGTGGAGAAGCCTAAATGAACCCATAGACAGGTTAGAATTTCTATTTATTTTCTTTTTGACTTCTCGTGCATGGCATGCAAATGCCCTAATCCTCTTTTCATGGTATTGAGGAATGTCCACTTCTTCGATTGTCTATTATTAGATGCATGTTATGAGGATGAAGTTTGGTGAATGCATGTATGCAAGTGTTTGTTTTTTCCTAAACATTATCATGTTTTATTTTCTAACATGATGTATGATAGTGTTTGAGATTTTGTGTTTTTTTTTTGTATGCGGATGAGGGCATGAAGAATACTAGCCACTTTCTAGAATGTAAAAAGATTTTTATTGTTTAAAACAAATGATTTATGAGATGGATATTCCTTAGAATGAATGTATTTATGCATGCACCAGTACAAAAGGGCGGTAGATGTTCAAAGTGGCATAACTTTTGACTGAGATGTCTGATTTGGACACACAACATATCAAAACGAAGGGAAAAAGGTGAGGAATCAGCTCAGAAATTACCCGAAGGGGATTTAGCCCAGTAATTTTCCCAAAAAACGCTTCTAAGACCCATTTTTTAGGGATTTATTAAAATGATGCGTATGCATACTTTCCATATGCATTTATTTTTTTCTCTTGGTTTTTCCACTTATGACATGATGCAATATGAATGATACGACTTTGTCAAAATTATTTTTATAAATGTTTTGATTTTTTTATTATTATTTTATTTATTTTGGATTTATTTTTTTAGCCTTTTATCTCTTCTGTCGGACTGCGTGGCTACTTAGCTTACAAAGAACCTGAAACCAGGCTAGCTAAAAGGCAGACTGTCCGAGATAAAATGGTTTTATTGGCGAAACAATAATATTAGCGTCCCTTATCTCTTCTGTCAGACTGCGTGGCTACTTAGCTTACAAAAAACCTGAAACTAGGCTAGCTAAAAGGCAGACTGTCCAAGATAAGGGTGTTTTTTGTAAAATTTTGTTTTAATCTGTTGTTTGGTTATGCTATGCAATCAAATGCAACAAAAAAATGCACATACAATTCATTCATCCGCGAACAGGCGAGAAGTCGTTTTAATCACGAGGTAGGGTTTTCCTGCAGAAAAGTGCATTGGCAAGGGTAGGTTCTAACTGTTCTCACCAAGGCTTAGGCCCCCAAGGTGCCCCCATTATAGGGTCCCCACTCTCCAGCCTTCCGACCATGCTTAGCACTAAGGCCATAGTCAGTCTTTGTGCCAAAAGAGGAAGGTTATCACCTTGAGTGGTGGTTTCCGATCACACTGGTGGGCACAAGGCCATCACTACAGCGAACCGTATCTGCCACCCACTCCCTATGGATTTCCCACTTGCCCCCGGGTATAGAGGGAATTGTTGTGTGCAAGGGTTTGTGTACAGTTTGTATTTCAAACAATTGCGTAAATATAAACAAACAACAGTTATTAAAGCCAAGCATTAAAACATGTTATAATACAAGATAGGGTAAAAGCGTAATTTTTTAAGTCTTTTATTTATTAAACTAGTCCATCACTGAATGGGATCAACTCTCTAGCTTCCCCAGTGGAGTTGCCATCTGTCGCTGCCATCAAAAAGAGGCGGTTGGAGCGACGCGATGGTTCCGACTTTCCAATTTTCGCATTTTTATGGGTGTGGTTACAATGCCTTTAGGTTGTCCGATAACCGGGCTGAACCTAGGGGCGAGGTTTTCGAAAAAGTGTTCTTGGATTGTCCGATAACCAGGCTAACCCAAGAACTAACTTTGAAGGGTTCTTATGGAGTCGCCACCAATGTTTTTACCGAAAACATCGGAAAAGGAAAAAAGAAGGCAATGGTTTTCGAAAAACCAACTTTGGCCATTATAACCAGAGTCGGGTAAGGGAGTTAGTTACGTGTGGGGAAGGTATTAGCACCCCCACAACGCCCCTTTCGGGTTCCCTATGATGGACTATTCTTAAAATAAAGACAATAAAATTATGCTTCTACCCTATTTATTTATTACAGAATTTAAATAGTTATCTACATGATCCTAATATCGAATGCATACAAGGAAAACAGTAAAAGAAAGCGATAAAAGAGAAGAGATATGAAGGAGAACCTCCGAAGCGAGTTTTTATAAATGTTGAACTTGAGGACGCTTTTTGGCAGTCCCCGCACTCTACAGAGACACTCCTCTCTCAATCAAAAAATAAAGGTGTCACCCTACCGAGGGCCAGATGTCTAAAAAAAAAAGAGGACATCCTTAACCGATTTCTACCTTAACGGAAATCGGAAAGCTCACTCGAACTCTGGAAAAATACTCAGAGTCACTCTAAAGTGCCAAAAGGCTTCCTAGAGAGTGGTAGGAGTGAATGGTGTGTGTGAAAATGGGTGGAATGAGACTCCTATTTATAGGAAAAAGTGCTAGGTCGGGATGGCCATCTGGGATTTCGGGAAGGCCTTCTCGCCATTCGAGAAGGCCTTCTCGCCCTTGCTATTTGGGAAGGCCTTCTCGCCATTTGGGAAGGCCTTCTCGGCAGAATTTTTTATTTTTATTCTTTTATTATTTTTATTTTTTGTACATAAAAACCTTCCTACTCTAATATGGGGCCTAATAGTCTCTCCTAGTGGCTTTTTAGGCTTTGTCCATATTCGAATAGGAGGTCTTCTGCTCTTATTTTGAGGTTGGGCAAGATTAGGGGTCTACACCCCAAAATTACTAAAGAATGCTATCCTTACTATCTGCTTCTCTTCTTGCTAAATATGTCTATACCTTTTTAATAAACAAGGTTTATATAGACGTTTTGTTCCAAATGCGTCAGAACAATCAAAGCGTCACAAAGCAAAGTCAAATATGATTGATTAACTAGAAACACAGATAAAATTTATCTCGATAGAATCAAGTTTCGACAATGTTGTGCAAAAAAAAATATATATACAAAAAAAGGAGAGCCCGTCAAGGCCAAAGGCCAAAACAAGAAAATAAAAGGGCAAAATACCCGGCAGGAAACCCACAAAAGGGGGCTACACAAAAGTTAGGGTAAACCTGGCAGGAGACCCGAACAATAATAAAGGGTGGCCTAGGCAAAAGTTAGGGTTACAAAAAGTCCGCTAGGTATTCCTAAAAATAATACAAAAAGGAAACCTAGACAAAAGTTAGGACATAACACAACATCCTGGACTGAAAACCTGAAAGGGTGGCCTAGGAAAGTTAGTCAATCACAAAAAGGCGCCACAAATCAGTAAAGTAAAGACGCCACATCATAAGAACAAAACGTTTGCCTAAACTAGCCTAAACATAGACCAACCTTGGCTAGCCATTCTTACAGAAACCTCTATAGAAAAAATATATATCCCTCTAAAACACAAGCCCTTGCTATAAATCCTTTTCTTTCTCTTCTCTTGACCATTTCACTATAAAGCATTCAAGTAATAAGGGGAATGTGGAAATATAGTGATCAATAGGAAGGTTGAAATCCTTAAGGAAAGGAAGGGGGGCATTGATATGGCAGTTGCCCTACGAACAAAAGATTGCTCTTCGGCTATAACAAGAAAATTCTGAGACGGTAAATCAGGTACAGCCAAGCTTGTTAATCAAGAAACATGATGACAGAAAGGTACAGCACCAAGAATGTGCCCGAAGTCAAAGCACATCAGTTAAAACTTTCGAAATATTAATTGAAATAGATCATAGGATGCATATCATGAAACATTACATGCATTAAAACATCAATGAATGGAGTCCTATCCTCCTTCTCATCAAGAAACATGAAAACCAACTTGAAAAGCTTGAGACAGCCATCCCAAGGGTCGAGACGGCCGTCCCAAATAACCAAATCCAAATGGGACGCCCGTCCCAAGTTTGAGACGCCCGTCTCAGGACCAAATTTTGAATGGGACGGCCGTCCCACTCCCCAGATGGCTGTCCCAAAGGAAAATTTTCAAGTGAGACGGTCGTCCCAACCCCAGACGGCTGTCCCAACTCTCCTGGCTCCTCCTATATATGTTAGGTGCGGATCCTTGCCTTAGTACCCCATTCCAAGCATTCCATCTTGCTTCTCCTCCCTTTCTACACACTTTTAGCATCCTTAAGTGAGTAAGACATACAATGGAACGTGGAGAGGCTTCAACCAGAATAAAACGCACCAGAACCTCCGCTAGAGGAACTCCTGTCACCAACACTCTGTTGGCAGAACCACATCAACAAAGGATGGCAAATATCCAACAATTTTCCTGGCATCCCATGCTACGGTTGGATTTTGAAATCCTAGCTACATTTGGCTGGGATCAAGATGTTAGAAGGTTCATCCACAACATCGGATGGGATTTTCTGCTTCGTGAGCAACCTACTCGAATCCACCGTACTACTACGCTGGAATTCCTTACCTCTGTCAATCTGGTGGAGATGTCGTCCATGACTCCCGGAGTGCCACCTACTCAAGCCGTCTCCTACTAGATGGATGGGGCATACCAGACCACTTTTCTGGATGACTTTAATGTCATAATGGGTTTTTGCCAACGAGCAGACACAAGGACACCGGAATATAGGTCTGCATATCTCGAGAAACCCGCTGCTCTCACTACCACCAGCATGTGGAAAGAAATTACCGGAGCACATACACTGCCATCACATCTGAAGGGTGCAGCTTTTTCTCCGCCACTCCGCATATGCCATAAACTACTAGCCGGGACCATACATAGCCGAAAGGAAAGCCAAGGGAAGGTAACGCTGGCTGACCTTTTTATTGTCTATTGTATGCATCAAGGACATCGATGCAATCCAGGGTATGCGTTCCTGAAAGCCGTAAAGGATTATGGAACTCATGGCTCAGCAGGAGCCATCATGGTGGCTCCCTTTCTCACCCCTTTAGCTAAATATTGGGGATGCACTGATGGAGAAGACCTCCCAGCTAGCCTCCAACCAGAGCCGATTAACGGAGGAACACTGGTCCACATGAACATCCTTAGTCGACAAGGATCAGGGTTTATTTTAAACCCCATAATCTCGATTTCACTAGATATGCGTGATTTCGACACACCACAGGACATCCCTGCGACTTCGGAATCCCAGCAGCAATCATACGATCCAGACTTCGCTGGCTTATACCGACATATAGATGATGAACATGCCTACATGGAAGGGCAGTTCCAGTTCATGAGACAGCAGTTCAGTCAGCTGACCATGAGGCAAGATAGGACGGACCGTCAAATAGAGAATTTGGTCTAGACTCAGACAAGGTTCCAATGCCGCATACTCCGCCGCATCCCTTCGCCAACACCATCCTCCCATTCCAGCCCAGAAGCAGATGATTAGGAGATCTTTAGATATTTTCTACTAGTTTAAAAATACTTGAATGTATCACCAAGAAAAAAGAAAAGAAAAAAGGGAAGTAATAAATAAAAGTTGTTATTTCTGTTTACCTTTCAAAAAGCTCACGTGTACAAAAAATTATTATAACAAAAAGGCACACGTGATATACTAAAAAGCCAGATTTCAAATAACTCGCGATAAAAATCAAAATCGCGAAAGAAAAAGGCGAAATCAAAACCATTTCAGCAGAATAAAGAGCTTCAAGGAAACTAGCTCTGACCTTCTAATCCCAATAAACGAAGGTACACCAAAAAAAGGACAACGGAAAGGTTCGATGATCCCCAAATGGATCCTTGCCTACTCCAAAGGCAAAACAAAAATTACTTCATGACTCAGCATCACAACATGAGTCGTCAAACATAGTCATTTGAAGCTTCAATCAACACCCTTCCATCCAAGAAAAAGGAAGTCATCAACATGAAAAAGCCAATGGAAAGGCTTGATCATCCCCAAGAGGATCCTTGCCTACTCGAGAGGCAAAACAAAAAGATTACCTCACGACTCAGTTGCATCACCACATAAGTCATCGAGCACACTCATCCAAAATCTCCGCCTCATTCCCCAAAGGAGAATAAGGACTACTCAAAGATCAACCAAAGAAGATATGAAGTCAAAAATCTCCATATCCCCAGAGGTTAAAAAAGAAAGAAGGAAAATAAATATTTTTTCCCCAATAGAAGCCACAATAAAGGCTGAATAAATATCTCCAAGTAGAGCATATCAGAAAAGTCTAAAAAAAGAGGAAAACAAGAAAATTTCCATCTTCCAGCTCAAATAAGAGCTTCACAAAGCCAGGAGTCAAGACTCCATCATCAAAGTTGGATCCCCAGGAAGCTGACAAACTCCTTGGTGAATCTCCAAAAAAAAAAGAGAAAAAGAAGAAAATCTCTTCATCCCGCTCAATAAAGAGCTTCACAAAAGTCAGGAGCCAAGACTCCACCATCAAAAAATCAAAGATTGGACCCCCATGAAGCCAATAAACTCCCCGGGATCGCCAAAAAGAAAAGAGAAAAAATAAATCTCTTCATCCAGCAGATAACAAAAAGCCAGTGTGCATAAAAGGCGTACACATTTAAAAACCAAATTTTCAAAATCGCGAAAAAAGATAAAATCGTGAGAAAAAGGTAAAAACCCATTCTCCAGCGGAATAAGAGCATAGGCAAAGCAAACTCAAAATAACAGCATCCAACAAGGAGTGAAAAACTCCATTACTCCCTAGGGGGCAAGTCAAAATAGATTTCCGGGAGAGCAATCAAATCCCCGGTGGATCACCAAAAAAGAAAAACTATCCCCAGCGAGCCTACCAGCAAAGGCAAAAACTACAATTTCATATCCTCAGGGAGTTAATAGCCTATAATACCCAATATGGATATCCCTAATGGAATGCAAAGCTTCCACTTCCAATGAAACCTCTGCCTACTCAAAGGCAAGCAAAGAGCCAATATCCCCAAGAAACGGGAAATCAACCTATTCAGAGGCGAAAAACAACAAGTATAAAGCCTTCACCACTATTGAAGCATCTGCCTAATCAAGAAGAAGAATAAATAGAAACCAAAAATCCCCAATGGATTCCTGCCTACATAAGAGGCAACCAACAAAGAATCCCCGGCAAAACCGGATGGCTAAACAAGAAAAGCCAAAAACAAAGAATCCCCGGCAAAGTCGGATGGCTAAAAAGAAAAGCCAAAAACAAAGAATCCCCGGCAAAGCCGGATGGCTAAACGAAAAAGCCAAAAACAAAGAATCCCCGGCAAGACCGGATGGCTAAACAAGAAAAGCCAAAACACAAAGAAATCCCTGGTAAAACTAGATGACTAAAACAGAAAAATCAAAAAGAAAAGGATCAATCACTCCCCACGGAATGGGCGCATGATAAAAAACAATAACCCACCAACACATCTTCAGAACCAGATGACCATAGGATTGACTACAAAAAGAACATCCTAAGAGCCTTGCAGAACGGGGTTCGTACCAAGTGGGGGTAGGTACCCATCAGAACCTTGCAGAACGGGGTTCGTACCAGGTGGGGGTAGATACCCATCAGAGCCTTGCAGAACATGGTTCGTACCAGGTTGTGGTAGGTACCCATCAGAGCCTTGCAGAACGGGGTTCATACCAGGTGGGGGTAGGTACCCATCAAAGCCTTACAGAACGGGGCTCGTTCAGAGCCTTGCAGAACGAGGCTCGTTCAGAGCCTTGCAGAATGAGGTTTGTACCGGGTGGGGGTAGGTACCCATCAAAGCCTTACGGAACGGGGTTTGTACCGGGTGGGGGTAGGTACCCATCGAGCCTTGTAGAACGGGGTTCGTGTCGGGTGGGAGTAGGTACCCATCGAGCCTTGCAGAACGGGGTTCGTACCGGGTGGGGGTAGGTACCCATCAGAGCCTTGCGGAACGGGGTTCGTACCGGGTGGGGGTAGGTACCCATCGAGCCTTGCGAGAATGGGGTGCGTACCAAGTGGGGGTAGGTACCCATCAGAGCCTTGCAGAACGAGGTTCGTACCAGGTGGGGGTAGGTACCCATTAGAGTCTTGCAGAACGAGGTTCGTACCAGGTGGGGGTAGGTACCCACCAGAGCCTTATAAAATAAGGTTTACACCAGATGAGGGTAGGTATTCATCAGAATCTAGCAAAAATGCAGATTCATACCAGGTGGGGGTAGGTACCCACCAGAGCCTTACAAAATAAGGTTTGCACCGGATGAGGGTAGGTACTCATCAGAATCTAGCAAAAATGCATATTCATACCAAGTGGGGGTAGGTACCCACCAGAGCCTTATAAAATAAGGTTTGTACCGGATGAGGGTAGGTACTCATCAGAATCTAGCAAAAATGCAGATTCGTACCAAGTGGGGGTAGGTACCCACCAGATCCTTATAAAATAAGGTTTGTACCGGATAAGGGTAGGTACTCATCAGAATCTAGCAAAAATGCAGATTCGTACCAGGTGGGGGTAGGTACCCACCAGAGCCTTATAAAATAAGGTTTGTACCGGATGAGGGTAGGTACTCATCAGAACCTAGCAAAATGCATCAGGTAGAGTAAAATACTCACCAAAGCATTACAAAAATGGGTTGCAAAGACCTTGCTTCTATTAGAGGATAGTTCAGTGTTGAGCACCTCGGAAGTAAGTACCCACAAGAGTTTAGCAAAATGTGAACTCATACCAGGTGAGGGTAAGTACTCATCAAAGCCTTGCAGAACAAGGTTCGTACCAAGTGGGGGTAGGTACCCACAAGAACCTTATGGAATTTGGTTCGTACCATATCAGAATGTAGCAAAGAGCAGATTCATACCTAGTGGGGGTAGGTACCCACAAGAGTCTAGTGAAATACAGACTCATACCTGGTGAGGGTAAGTACTCACCAGAGCCTTATAAAAGAAGGTTCAAACCAGATAGGGGTTGGTACCTATCAAAAATATTTATCATCCGGAGGATCAGCAAACTTCAGCAAAGGAGCATCTGAAGGATGATGGGGCAAAAAGGTTAACTCCTTCACCTACCAACTAATTTTGTGGGCACATTAGGCCAACAATTAGTCAGGCAGGTGAA